ATGGCAGTGGTTGTGGGTGGGGGAGAACCCCGACATTTGTTTTCGTGGTGCTTGGGAATTCAACTAGGGCCTTGCACAACCAAGCAAGTGGTGTCCAAGACACGCCCTAGTCCGGATTAATGAAGAACATTACTAGATGGGGGAAGGCTAAGTAGAAAGCCAGAAACCACTGTGGAACTTAGAACGAAAGAGGACTTTGGAGCCCATCTGCTCCAGATCCCGTCTTGTAGAAGAGGTCAGGGTGAGAAAGCTTGCCTGATCCCTTGGAGTGACTGAAGGACTCCAAGCACCTTCTGCATGTGAGCACACACAGGGAACATGATTTTTTTATAAAAAAGAACAGGGAAGGGGAACTCAGAGGAGAAGGGCTCAGTGGCTAGAGACCCACAGAGGGTCCCAGGATACACTTGGGAGGAGGAGGCGATGATGAGGCTCCAACGGGCCATAGCAGTCACCAGGGATACCCCTTCTGTGAGACACTGTGCTTGCTTTAGGCCACAGTAAATCACCAGGTTGCCTCTGTAGCCCAGGCCTGCTCAGCACCCTTCTCAGACCTCGCCCACCTGAGCGGCTTCCACAGTGAGAGGGACTTCTGTGCAGGTGGGGACAGGAGTTGAGAGGTTCTCCCATCTGGCCCAGCCACACTCGGGCTTTAAAGGGAACTTTCTTCCAACTCCAGGAGGATTGCAGCTCACACCCACAAAGCACTAGGCTCCAGTTAAGTTCTTTACAAAGAGCATCTCATTTTAACTTCACTGTTTGAGAAAAATAACAGCATCTCCACTTTCCAGTTATGGAAGCTTAAGTTTGGTTAAGCAATTTTCTTTTTTTAATTTAACTTTATGTACATTGGTGTGAAGGTATCAGATCCCCTGGAACTGGAGTTACAGACAGTTGTGAGCTGCCATGCGGGTGCTGGGAATTGAACCCGGGTCCTATTGGAAGAACACCCAATGTTCTTAACCGCTCAGCCATCTCTCTAGCCCTCTTTTTATCTTCTTTTTTTAAAGAAATTTATACACATCTGTGTAATTCGTGTCTGTCGTGTGTGTGTGTGTGTGTGTGTGTGTGTGTAGACTGCAAAAGGGCCCTAGATTCCCCAGAGGTGGGGTCACAGGCAGTTATGAACTGCCTTGGAAACTGAGCTTGATTGGACATGCAGCCAGGGTAAGGAGGGGGCGATTGGACATGCAGTCAGGGTAAGGAGGGGATGATTGGACATGCAGCCAGGGTAAGGAGGGGGCGATTGGACATGCAGCCAGGGTAAGGAGGGGATGATTGGACATGCAGTCAGGGTAAGGAGGGGGCGATTGGACATGCAGCCAGGGTAAGGAGGGGATGATTGGACATGCAGTCAGGGTAAGGAGGGAATGATTGGACATGCAGCCAGGGTAAGGAGGGGGCGATTGGACATGCAGCCAGGGTAAGGAGGGGGCGACTGGACATGCAGTCAGGGTAAGGAGGGAATGATTGGACATGCAGTCAGGGTAAGGAGGGGATGATTGGACATGCAGCCAGGGTAAGGAGGGGGTTGCTTATAGCACCAGTTCCTAGATGTCAAAGTGCTTTCTGGGACATTTTCCTAGCTGAGCCATTAAAGCAACTCTGCAAGTCAGGGCTGGAATGACTTTTACTTATGACATAGAAAAGGAAGTGGAGGGCTGGAGAGATGGCTCAGTGGTTAAGAGCATTGCCTGCTCTTCCAAAGGTCCTGAGTTCAATTCCCAGCAACCACATGGTGGCTCACAACCATCTGTAAAGACGTCTGGCGCCCTCAACTGGCCTTCAGGCATACAGACAGAATATCGTATACATAATAAATAAATATTTAAAAAAAAAAAAGAAAGAAAAGGAAGTGGAGACTTGCAGATGTGACGACTTCCCAGGCTGCATGCTTGGGAGTCAGGTACAGGCCTAGTGCCTGATTCTGGAGGCAGGGTGGGAGCTGGGGAGGTAAGGAGTAAGTGTGAGAGGCTCTATCTGCCATAGGAGACTGGAAATGAGGGCCTGCTGCTGCCTCTGGGGCCATCAGACCCTGCTTTCTGCTTTGAGAGTCACCTATGGAGCCCAGGGGCTGCTGGGATTGAGGAGTGACTGTGGCTGGTTAGGGACCACAGCATATGCCTGTCACAACTCGAGGTAGCAAATAACTTCGGCAACTAAATAGAAGTGGCATGATCTCGGTTTTGAAATGGTTAAGGGTTGGCCCAGTGTTGGTTAAATGGGAGCCTTCACCAGGGCAAGCAGCTTCTTCAAAGAGGTCGGACACTCCCAGGAAGCAGAACAAGAGGCTGCACTCTTCCCCAGTCCTGAGGACCCGACCTCAGGACACACTCACGCTGAAGCCAAACCCCAACTGTTCCAACACATTCCTTGGGGTATCACAAAGGAAAAGTCAGTGTCCAGTGAGAAGGTTCCGAGCAGCCCTCCTGGCAGTGGAGCCTATCGCTTCTGTGAACAACGTGGAAAACGTGGTATGAAGTTGAGTCGGCATCACACTGTGTCCCCTGAAGAGTGACTCACGGGAACACTTTCTCTTGGTCTCAGTGCCAGGAAACTCTGTGTTTCTCCAGGGCAGCTGCTTTGCTCTTGCCTTTCAGAATCTGTGTATCTGTTAGGGACCACATTTCCCTAGCAGTCTCTACTGGGAAGCTTGACTTGAACGGGGGTTAAATTGATGGTCTGTTACACATAGCTGTAGGGCACGGATTTTGTATGCTAATACTGCTCCCAGCTTTTTTGTCTTTTTCTTCTCCCACTTCACTATTTATTTCTAATCCTAGTGTGTTGTGTGCTGCGTTTGTTTGTACACTACTTGTGATTCTTGTTCTCTCTCTCTCTCCTGGAATTCAGTCTGTAGACCAGGCTAGCCTCGAACGCAGAAATCCACCTGTCTCTGCGTCACGAATGCTAGGATTAAATGTGTGTACCACCACCATCTGACTAACTTATGATTTTTATTGTTTGTTTGAGACAGGGTCTCCCAAATCCTACAGGCTGGCCTTGAACTCTTGATTCTCTACTCTCCAGCTCCCAAATGTTGGAATTAAAGATGTGGGTTTATTTTTTTTTTGTTTTATTTTAATGGAAGGACATTGTCATTATTGCCTTTCCTGACACTGATAAAATACCCTGACTGAATGGGGGGAAAAAAAGAAATAGAGAGGAAAGGCCATGACTGCTCCTAGGTATGGAGGAGAAAGTTTATTGTAGATAAAAGGGAGAACATAGCCAGAGGCAGGATCATCTGGGGGAGTTGAAAGTGGACAGGATCCTGAGCCAGGGGAGCAGAGGGAGAATGGGAGGAAAAGGGGAGAAGATGGAACCAGATACAGCAGCCTAGGCAAAGGTGAAAGGGGCAGGTAACCAGAATGGCTAGATTCCAAGGAAAGAGCCTCTGCAGGAAGGGCAGCTAGCCCCTGGGCTGGAGAGTTGGGGAGGAGGTAAAAGGTGAGGTATGCCAGTTATCCTCTGTAACAGCTAGGGACTAAGGGATGCTGGGAGAACCTGCTATGTTAAATAAGCACCTCCACCATTTGTCCCAGGGTTTGAGAGGCTGAACACTGACAAGAGCAGCTTACGAGAGGAAGGGTTTGACTTAGTATTTGAGGTTCCAGTCCATCCCGGAGGGGTGGGCCTTACAGAAGCAGGAATGAGGCAGCAAGTTGCATTCACAATCAAAAAGCAGAAAGCAACGACCATGCTCAGTCCATTTTCTCCTCTTTATACTGTCCAGAATCCCAACCTAGTGAATGGTTCTGCCCACAGTGGGCTGGCCAGCCCTCTTCAGGTGACCTAATCAAAATAATCCCCCACAGGTGTGCCTGGAGGCCTGGCTCCTGGGGGAGTCTAGAGCTCACCAAATTGACAATTGGGGTTAACCAGCACAGGCACAGAGAAGAGAAGGAAAAGAGAGTAAATGGGAAAACCCAGGAGCAATGTCTCTGCTAACACTTATTCCCCAAGGTTCTGCCAAGAGTGTCGGTTCTGCTTGGCTTTCAAAGAAGTAAAAATATTGGTACCGTTAACTGATATGGGTTAGAAACCTCTCAAACAAATGGTTGATAAAATAGGAGGGTGAGCCGGGCATGGTAGTCCAGGCCTTTAATACCAGCATTCCAGAGGCAGATGGATCTTTATGAGTTCCCAGTCAGCCAAGGCTACATAGTGAGACCCTGTCTCAAACAAAACAGCAAGGTGACAAAAAAGAAAAAAATGCAGTGAGACACCACTTTTGACACAGAAAATGGCAAATGTTAGTTCTGAGGATACCCAGAGTTGGCATGGGTGAACAGTCAGTTAGCTTTCCTGCTGTGTCCTGTGTGCTGACCAATGGGAAGCCTGGCACCCAGGAAACTATACACAGATGTGACTGTCGGGCCTAACTATGGGAACATAGAAGGAATCCCTAGACATAACCAAAGATTTTTCCAGAAAATGTTCGTTTCAGCGTCATTTGCAGCAGCAGACAAGAAGTCGAAATGTCCTCGAGGACAACTGAACATTGTATAGAAATAGAGCACACGAATCAGAGATTTGTATTCTGCTGCAGACAAACGCAAAACAACGCCAAACGAAAATAACAAACTGCGGGTTATGTAAGCCTGGCTCCATTTCTCTGAAGTATAAGTCATCTTATTTCTGGGTCCTTATATTTGTTGCATGTGTATAAAGATATGAAAGAAAACAGTATACCCCTGAGCTGGGGCAGAAAGCCCAAGTGGGAGATAATGGGAAGGGTGGTCATGGACGCAGTGAACATGGGTGCAGGCTATGATAGGCCATTCTTTCTGGTACAGTTAAAGTATCTCACTCAAAGCAAAACGGGGGGTGCACTGCTGTGTATCTGTTGAGAGCCCTGTGTTTATGTCAGGACAGGGATGGGAAGGGTAGGCAGAAAGCCCTGGTGGGAAAGTAACCCTGGGGACTGCAATACCAGCATCCTGATGCTCCCAAGAGGGTAGGAATAGGTGGGTTGCAGTCATGGGACTCTGTTGTAGGCTTCGTGATCCAGGGCTCTACTGGAGAGTTTCCATTCCTGACCAGCAGCGAGCGCCTGGAGGTGGTGAGCCGAGCGCGCCAGGCCATACCCAAGGACAAGCTTCTGATAGCCGGCTCTGGCTGCGAGTGTGAGAACACGATGCCTCGGGGCCCTGGGGTTGTTGGGCTGTGGGGGATCCGGGCTCTTGGGCCCTGGGGTTGCGTTCTGTCTGTTGTTTTGCCCCTGCTGGGGCGCACCGAGGCCTGGGGTTGCTGGGCTGTGGGGGATCCAGGCTCCTGGGCCCTGGGGTTGGGTTCTGTCTGTTGCTTTGCCCCTGCCGGGGCGCACTGAGGCCTATTTCGTTTGCCTTCTCCTTTCTCCCCTCTGCAGCCACTCAAGCCACGGTAGAGATGACCGTCAGCATGGCTCAGGTCGGCGCTGACGCGGTCATGGTGGTGACACCTTGTTACTATCGTGGCCGCATGAGCAGCGCCGCCCTCATTCACCACTACACCAAGGTAGGTGGCAGGGGTGGGTGTGGGTTAGAGGCCTGGGACCAAGCGGAGGTTGGCGGAGATGGAGCCCATGCCTAAGGAGAAGCTAGGAGTGGCACGGAGAGCCTACGTCATGTTAATAGTCACTCTAGGACCTAGTATAAGCCATCAGGTACCAACTCTGTGACATTAGACCACTCTGTAACCTCTCCGTAACATTTCCTTTCCTTTAAAACAGGAAGAATAGGGGCTGGAGAGGTAGCTCTGTGGTTAAGAGCTCACAATGCTCTTACAGATGGACTAAGCTCAGTTCCCAGCACCCATCTGGGTGGCTTGCGACCATATCCAACTCCAGTTCCAGAGTATCGGAAGCCTCTGGCCTCTAAGGGCACTGGTACTCATGTGCATATACCCATACATATACGCCTGATTAAAGATAATAAAAATAGATCTTAAGAAAATAAAACAGGGTAAATAAGGCATCTGCCTTGTGCGCTTCTTCGGGGTTACATGAGATCTGCATACATAGCTTCGGGCTGTGCCTGCTGTACAGAGAGCACTCAGACTTCCAGTCATTGCAACCCTTCGGGGGGCAGACCTGTCACACAGCTCTGCAGTGACACAGTCCAGGGCCTGGGAGGGTAAGCCTCCAGCCCCTCAGACCCGGGCAGGTGCAGCCTCCTCCTTTTCTCTGTGCCCCACAGGTCGCGGATCTTTCTCCAATCCCTGTGGTGTTATACAGCGTCCCAGCCAACACAGGGCTAGACCTGCCTGTGGACGCCGTGGTTACGTTGTCTCAGCACCCGAATATCATCGGCATAAAGGACAGTGGTGGCGATGTGAGTGGCAGCAGCTCCCAGACTGGGACCACCTCCTCTTTCTCTGGTTCTAGCGCGGTAGTTTCTAACCCAGAGTAGCGCCGAGACCCATGTCAGTCCCGAGCTTGTTGGGTGGGCGCCCCGAGGCATGGTCTGGACTTCCGGGCATCTCTCTGGGTACTGGGCTGTATTTGTGCAGGCTGGTCACTAGCTCTGGACCCAGCTTTCACACTGTGTTTACTGTAATAGGTGACCAGGATTGGGCTGATAGTTCACAAGACCAGCAAACAGGATTTCCAGGTGTTGGCTGGGTCGGTTGGCTTCCTCCTGGCCAGCTATGCTGTGGGTAAGCCTCCTGCTGCTCAAACTGTCCTGACCAACCAAAATGCACCCAGATGCTCAGGACTACTAAGAGAGACTGGGTTGGGGGGTGGGCAGGCCTGGGTCTGCAGGGAGCAGCTGTCTCAATTCTGGGCGCTTGGGCTTGACCCTTTTGGGTGGGGGAGGGTGTATGAGTACCGTGCTGGCCTGTAGAGATGCCTGCAGTTGGTAAAGTCCCAAATTCCATGCTTAGATGACAAAATTAGCTCCTCTAATCTTGCCCTGTAAATCATTCTCTGGGAGCAGAGGTCTCAGGCCGCTGCTCTAGGCCAGGAGTCCGTTTTCCACTGCCTCTGACCGTGGGACCGAATGAACTGTCAGACATGGGTGGTTGGGATGGTATCTCCTGCTGTCTGCTCAGATTCTCTTGCAGTCCGGCATCCTAGCAATGGCACTTAGAGCAGCTGCTCTTGTTTGCTTTGGGAGAGGGTCTTTGGGTTCAGGCAGGACTGAGCCCTGGTGGGTGGGGCAGAGGAACAGAAGCATCAGGGAGCTGAGATAAATTTTTCAGCTGTGGGAGACAGCAGTGGTCTCCGTTATCTCTGGGCTCTGCAGACTTCCGCTTTGGTCAGGGTCCTAGCACATCCCTTTACCATCCTACAGTCTCTAAAGTGCAAGGTGGGGGAAGGGCTTTTGTAGCTCTTTCCTGAGATACAGTGGAGAAGGCACAGGCTCTGGAGGTAGGGGCGACTGAGGTATGGCTTCACACAGTAACCAAGTCAGGACACCAGCCCTCACTGGGCCTGCATTTTACCCTAAACAACTCAGTAGTCTGTGAAGGTCAGAGGGCCAGCCCATCAGCCAGTGCCCAGTCAGCGCATAATATGTAAGCTTTTGAGGTGTTTTTTTTTTTTTTCTGAGACAAGGTCTTTCTGTGTAGCCCTAATTATCCTTTAAGTTCTTGTAGTCCAGGCTAGCCTTTGAACTCACAGAGATCCACCTGCTCCTGCTCCCTAAGTGTTCCATGCCTGGCTATGAGTATCTTTTGTTTTTAAGTAAATCTGTTCTCATTAAATTTTTAAAATTATATCTTATTTATTTTGCATGCATATGTGTGTGTAGGGTGTATGTATGTAATGGCACATATGTGGGGTCAAAGGACAATTTTGGGAAGTTGTTCTCTCCTGCCATGTAAGTCCCAGGGATTGAATTTGGGTCATCGGGCTTACCCACTGAGCCATCTCTCTGGACCCATAGTTGGTTTCTTCCAGTCTTGAACCACTATGCTTAGGGTCACTACTACCTCATCTTAGACTCACACTCAAAGGTTGAATTTCACATCCTGAAGCCAAGGGGAGGAAACACCCAGACTCCTGGCCCCAAATCCAGGCCACTTTCCCACTCCTGACCAATAGTGGCCCAGTTAACTGAAGGAATAAGGTTTCAGAACTCAGTTCCTGTTTCCTCAGCCCCTAAGGTGTCAAGATCTGGAAACATGGTAGGTGGAAGGTAGGTGAAGGGGCTGCCCTGAAGGCCGTGTTCCCTGCTCCACCACTGGCTCTGAGCAGCGACTGGCACGCAGACTTCTTGTATTGAACATACAGGCAGCCTTTGCTGGAAGTACATAACTGGACACACAGACCATGACTGTGGCATGGCCCAAAGACTATAGAAATCTACATCCCGTGTTCCCAATTATGAAAAGGTTTGGGGCTCAGGGTTTGGGTTTCTCTGTAGTAAGTGGCTCTGATGAATGCTTTGTCTCCTTCGGGCAGGAGCTGTTGGGGGTATTTGCGGCCTAGCCAATGTCTTAGGGGCCCAGGTATGCCAGCTGGAGAGACTCTGCCTCACGGGACAGTGGGAAGCTGCCCAGACGCTGCAGCACCGCCTCATCGAGCCCAACACAGCGGTGAGCTCCCACCCTGGACTGGCACGGGGTCTCTGCTCAATCCTTCCCTTTCAAACTGTCCATGAGAATGTCCCAGTGTGGGAACCGCTACCGACTCCCCAGGAAACCCCGATTGCAGAGAATGAGCCCCGTAGGTTCTCAAGCTTCAGAGTTCATTGGAATTTCCATGTGGGCTAGTTAAATGTCCAACCCTTTGAACATGCATGGAAAGAAATGTCCTGAGTGACGGCAACGTCAGTGACTCTGGGACAGTGCGCCATGGCTTTACAGCAACCACACAGGGTACAGATAGCGACAACCATAGAGACCATGGTAGCAGAGAACTGGAGCTATTTTGATTTTCCAGGAGAGTTGTCAGAACAATGTGCTCTGCAGGTCAGACTTTATGTTCCAGTACTTTTGGGGGCAGGTCAAGGAGAACTTAGCAAGGAATGTTGGTCAAGATCAAAGCTAATTTGAAAACTGAAGAAAACTAAAGGAAATGTATATCCTTTATTTATTTATTTATTTATTTATTTATTTATTTATTTATTATGTATACAATATTCTTTCTGCATGTATGCCTGAAGGCCAGAAGAAGGCACCAGACCTCATTACAGATGTCTATGAGCCACCATGTGGTTACTGGGAATTGAACTCAGGACCTTTGGAAGAGCAGGCAATGCTCTTAACCACTGAGCCATCTCTCCAGTCCCTATTTTATTTATTTTGAAAGAGAGTTTCACTGTGTCGCAAGGCTGGATTTACACTCTTAAAATTCTCCTGCCTCAGCCTCCTGGTTTTGCATCTGCACTAATGTAAATGTGTTTGTACTAATTTACTAATGTAAATGTGTCTGCATTCTCAGCACGTGTGCTGTCTTATTTCAGCCCTGTGGAGAGCTGGGAAGTAATGTGTTTCTGGTGGCTGATGACACTGAACATCTATTGATGTATTTGCTTGTCACAGCCTTGACTCTCAAATATCTGTTTATGTCCTTACGTCCTGTGTCCATTTTCTTTCTTCTTCTGGTGCTGGAAACTGTGCCCAAGCCTCACACAAGCCAGACACCATGTGCTTTGCTATCTGCCTGCAGTCCTGACTGGTTGCTTGTCCATTTTCTTTTTCCTTTTCTTTCCTTCTCTTCTCCTCTCTCTCTCTCTTTTTTAGTTTTTTGTTTGTTTGTTTGTTTGTTTGTTTGAGACTCAGTTTCTCTGTGTTTCTCTAGCTGTCCTAGAACTCACTTTGTAGACCAGACTGGTTTCAAGCTCACAAAGATTCTCCTGCCTCTGCCTTCCAAGTGCTGGGATTAAAGTTATGCACCACCACCACCCGGGATCTTGCCCATTTTCTAAGTAAATGTCTTTCTTATATATTAAATTTAGAAGAACTAGTCCCTTCTTAGCTGTGTGCTTGTAAAGATTTTCCCCTAGTCTGTAGCTTCTCTTTTTCATTTTCTTTACATGTTTTTGGTCAATCAAATTTTAGATTTGGGGGAAAAATTAAGATTTTGTTGAAGTCAAATTTGTCAATATGTTCTTTCTTGGATGGTACTATTAATGTCAAGTCTCAGAAGTCTTTGATCAGCACTAGTTGCTGTATATATTCTCCTACTTTGTTTCCTGAAAGTTTAGTAGTTACATTGTAAAAGTTTGTGACCCATTTCGAGTTAATTTTTGTTTAAAGTCTGAGACTTTGGTCAAGGTTCCTTTTTTTTTTTTTTTTTTTTGCCTATGGATATCCAAAACCATTTGTTGAGAAAGCTCTTTCCTCTGTGGAGCTGCCTTTCTGCCTTTGTCAAAAGTCAGTGGGGCAGGTTTGTGAGAGTCTATTTCTGGGCTCTCTAGCCTCTTCATTGATCTGTGCGTCTACAACTCCACTGTGCCACTGTCTGGATTGTTAGCTGCAGCGTAAGGGTTTAAACAAGTCTTGTAAAAGGCTGCTTCCTCCTGTCTGGTTCTTTTTAGCTTCCTTAAAATTGCTTGAGTAGTTGATTCCTCTGTCTTTCTATATTAATTTTAGAATAATCTTGTCTATAGTTACAAAAAAAAAATCTTACTAGGAATTGTTAACCTGTAGACCACTCTGGGATGGTAACATCTTTCCTGTGTCACATTTCTTTCTTTCTCTCTTTCTTTCTTTTAATTTGTTTTCTTTTCTTTCCTTTTTTTTTGATATAGGATTTTTCTGTGTAGTTTTGGAGCCTATCTTGGAACTCACAATGTAGACCAGGCTGGTCTTGAACTCACAGAGATCTGCCTGTCTCTGCCTCCCAAGTGCTGGGATTAAAGGCGTGCGTCCACCACCCAGCCGCCACCACCCAGCTGAGTGAACTCCAGGTTTACTTACACACACACACACACACACACACATCCACACACACACAAGCACAAAAAAGACCCACATATATATACACAGAACCTGATGTGAAAGTTGAAAGAGGCTTCCCAGCACTTGGGAGCTGTTTCACGCTTTTCTGGGCAAGTTAAAAATAGTATTTTAACTTCACTATCTGCCAGGCAGATTTCTCTGTGTAGCTTTGGAGCCTATCCTGGAATTTGTTCTGTACCCTAGGTTGGCCTCAAACTCACAGAGATTCGCTTGCCTCTGCCTCGTGAGTGCTGGGATTAAAGGCGTGCGTCAGGCTAATCACTTTTCAAATACTGACACAGATGTGCATCCCTGGAGCAAACCTCACTTAATCATAGTATAGATTTATTTCGGTGTGTTGCTGAAATTTCATTTAGTGATATTTTTATAAGAATTTTTATGCTTATATTCATAAGGAATAATGGTCTATTTTTTCTCCTTCCTTTTTCTCTCTCTTCACTCCCTCCTCCTCTTCTTCCTCCCTTTCCTCTGTCGTTCATTCCCCCACTGAGTCTGATTTTTTCTTTTTTTAATACCTCTGCAATTTTTAAAAATACTTATTTATTTACTTATTATGTATACAATAGTCTGTCTGCATGTATGCCTGCAGGCCAGAAGAGAGCACCACATCATTACAGATGGTTGTGAGCCACCATGTGGTTGCTGGGTATTGAACTGGGGACCTTTGGAAGAGCAGGCAATGCTCTTAACCGCTGAGCCATCTCTCCAGCCCCGAAGGTATTTTTCTTTCTCTTGATGGAGATGGTATAGAATTGATACTGAATCTTCTTCAAACATTTGTGGAATTCTCCAGTAGAAACCAAGTGGCCGTGGTGATTTAATGGGATCATTGGACTATAGTCATAAATGGTTGTGAGCCTCCAAGTGGGTGCTGGGAATTGAACTCAGGTCCTCTAGAAGAGCAGCAGTGCTCTTAACTGCTGAACCATCTCTCCAGCCCTTCTTGTTGGAACTTTTACTTTAAAACGTTTTGTTATTATTGGGGATTGCACATGGATGCCCCGCTGCACATGTGGAAGTCAGAAGACAGGTCTGTGGAGTTGGCTCTCTTCTACCTTAGTGTGGGTTCTGGGGATCCAAAACTCAGGTCATTAGGCTTGCCTGGCCAGTGCTTTGCCCACTGAACCATCTCCCCAGCTCCTGTTGGAAATTTTATTGGTTGTGGCCCCTGGTATCTTATGGTTGATTCAGTTCTGAGTCTGAACCAGGAGACTCACCATTGTGTTGATTTTTGGTGCTTTAGGTCCCTGGTTGATCCTCCCTCTTCAGTGTGTCTTTTGGAGTTTTCTTATCTGTTTTCTGAGACAGTGCCTCACTGTGTAGCTCTGACTGGCCTGGAATTTGCTGTATAGACCAGGCTGGCTTACAACTCTTCCACCTGCCTCTGCCTCCCAAGTGCTGAGATTAAAGACACATATCCCACACAGCACAGATTCACTACCTGTTTTCTGCAATGGCCAGAGTGTTCATCAGGGGTTATGGGAAGAAAGAACACAACTGCCTCTATCTTCTCAAATTAGAGGTTTTAAGTAATTTCCCAAGTTGTGACCCTTCCCACCCTGAGCATTTAAGTCATTGAAAACAATATTAGCAAAGTGGGCATATAAAACTGAGAACATTATTTGCTTTAGGTTTGAATATTTTATATATACTTAAACAATTTATTATCATTTTACTTTCCTGGCTTTAATGGGAACAAATTCATTAAGACTTTTTCCCCCCTAAATCTGTTTCTAGGAACAAAATCAAATCAACAAATAAAACATTGCCCAGGCTGCCGTTGAAATTTCTCTATAACCCAGGCAGGCCATGAAGTTGTGATCCTCCTGCCTCGGCCCCCTGAGTAGCTGATATGATGGGTCTGGGCCACTAGGCCCATCTTCCCTTATGCTTTTGCTACCCAAGCTATCTGTATCCCAGCCCCACAGTGGCGGATGCTTTGTAGCAGGCAGCAGGTGTGCTCTAGGTCTCCTGCCCAGCTTGGCTTGTCTCAGTTTTAGAAGAAAGGGCAGCTGAGAAGGAAAGGGAGCTTCTTCCTGGATGCGGAGCTTCCCTCAGAGTGACTCTGTCAATAGGTTCTGAGAACTCACAGAAATGAAGCCTTCTAGTTAAGCAGGGCCAGGGCTGCCCCCAACACTCTGGCCCTTCCCCTGGGGTGGAAGCCTGCATTTCTCATTTCCGTCTACCCGCACGAGAGAAGGGTCCCACATCTGCAAATGCCAGGACAGGAGGAGGTAGCGCCTCCAGCGGTCTTGGGGACTGCTGTGATTTTAATGGTGTTTGTCATCTGATGTCTGAGTCATGTCTATGGGTAGGTGTCATCTCACTTTACAGAGGAAGTGGTGTTGGCTGCCCCCTCTGGGAAGATGGGATGCTCGGCTGCCATTAAAGCTCTCCGAGGTCATCTCACCCCATCCTGCCCCTTCTTGTGCCAGCCCTGGGCACACACTCAGGAATGCCTGGAACACCTTTCACTGCTGCCTGAGCTGTAGGCTCAGACGCTCCAACAGCAGCCTGATGTCACTGTATTGCCCTGTTCTGTCCAAGGCCTGTCCTTCTGCCTTCCCACCCAGCATCTTGCCCCAAGCTATACTTAGGACTTTCTGGGGTCTTCTAGCCCTTTCTCCAGGGTTGAGAAGGCACACTGGCTATCTTCAAAAATCCTTGGTAGGAACATGGTTCCATCTTCTTCTGGAGGTTTTGGCCAACTCTAAAGCTTGCGAGTTTTAAAAGCTAGGCTGTTAAGACATTGTGTTTTTCCCATTAAGACATGGGGAAAACATCAGTTTGCTGGTGATGGCTGCCCTCTAGTGGCGGATAGTTGTAAGCCAGTCATCCAACATCCACCCCAGCCTTTTCCACTGAATGCCTCATTGCTTCTAACCTTCACGAAACTCGTACCTCTAAAGATCCCCCCAATGGAGCTTTATTAAGTAAGTTTTTAGATCGTCAAAGATGCATTCCAATATTTCTGATCAGTTGCTTTAACGAAAAGGGAAGAAACTGGATCCTTCATTTATTCTGTAAAATTCCCTGTACTGTTTTGAGCTGCGACGTGGCTGTAGGTGCCCACTGTGATACACAAGCCTTTAGAGGTAGTGTTGCTCAGCCCCTTCATTTTCCTAGGGGAAAAAAGTTGCTTGGGTAATAAATATTATATGCAGTTATATGACAAACCTCCTGTGGCTAGTTATATCCTTTCCTGTGAAAGCATTTTGTTTGTTTGTTTGTTTTTCGAGACAGGGTTTCTCAGTGTGTTACTTTGGAGCCTGTGCTGGAACTAGCTCTTGTAGATCAGGCTGGCCTTGAATTCACAGAGATCCACCTGCCTCCGCCTCCCAAGTGCTAGGACTAAAGGTGTGTGCCACCACTGCCCAGCCCCTGTGAAAGCATTTAAATAGGGCCCGGGAGGAGCTGTGGGTGGGTGGGGGACCCTGATGCTGGGGACTTAGGAGCTGGGCTCTGTCCACGGCTTCCTTGCTCACCGGGTCTGCTGTGCTGCAGGGACCCAGCCTTGCTGCCTTCTACGCCAGCTTCTATCCCAGCATGAAGGCTAGATTAGATGCCCCTCTTTGTTGAAGTAGTTTTTCTCCTAAGCCTTATTCAGGTTGAGACTCTCCATAACTGACCCACTTCTGCTGTCTAAATCTGGATTCTCAGTGCAACCTGCACCACAGATTGGAGTTCTTTACAGGAGGCTGGGAACCCCAACTTTTCCAGCTAGGTGTGTCAGAGGTGTGGGAGCTCTGTAGTCTCTTCTAACAGTGCTTCTTCTCAGGTGACTCGGCGCTTCGGGATTCCCGGGCTGAAGAAAACCATGGACTGGTTTGGCTACTATGGAGGCCCCTGCCGTGCCCCCTTGCAGGAGCTGAGTCCCACTGAGGAGGAGGCCCTGCGCTTGGATTTCAGCAACAATGGCTGGCTCTGATGACAAGCAGGAGACACCTGGCCTGAGCTGTCAGGGACGTCTGTTCCCATAGCCTGAAGAGGAACAGGGCATTAGGAATTAGGGCATGTATTAGTCAGTGTTCTATTACTGTGAAGAGACACCATGACTCTCGTGATGCTTATAAAGGAAAGCATTTAATTGGGCTGGATTACCGCTTTCAGAGGTTTAGTCCATTATCATGATGGGAAGCAGGGCAGCATGCAGGCAGACACGGTGCTGGAGAAGCAGCTGAGAGTTCTACATCTGGATCTGCAGGCAGGAGGAAGAGAAAGTCACCCGGCCTTGCTTGGGCTTTTGAAAACCTCAAAGCCCACCTCCAGGAACCACTTCTTCCAATAAGGCCACACCTTCTAACCCTTTCAGATAGTGCCATTCCCTAAATATTTACATGTATGGGGGCATTCTTATTCAAACCACCACATTCCACTCCCTGGCCCCCACGGGCTTATAGCCATATTATAACACAAATGCATTTAGTCTAACTTCAAAAGTTCCTGTAATCTATTCCAGTCTCATGACTAATTAAAAGTCCAAAGTCCAAGTCGCTTCTGAAATTCATACAATCTCTTAGCCATAACCCACTGTAAAATCAAAATCAAAAAGCAGATCACACGGAATATCCACTACCATTCCAGAAGGGTGGAAGGGGAGCATAGTGAGAAAATACTGGGCCAAAGCAAATCCAAAACCAATTGGACAGACTCCAAACTCTGCATCTCCAGGTCTGGCATCAAAGCACACTTCAGATCTCTAACTCCGTTCAACTTTCTTGACAGTAACACGCTTCTCTCTCTTGGGTGGTTCCACTCCCTGCTAGCACTTTTCCTCGGCAAGTGTCCCATGACTCTGGCATCGCCAGCACCTTGGAGTCTCCAAGGCAATCCAAGCTTCACCTTCACATCTTCACGAAATGGCCTCTCTAGGCCTCCGGTCAGGAACACCCTTGACACGGGTCTGGCCTCAGTGGCTTTCCTTAGGTGTGGAGGGAAATTCCACAACACTTTCTTGTATCCTTGATTCTAAAATAAGAACCACATGACTGAAGCTGCCAAGTTCTACTGCTTGATGGGGCTGGAGCCTGACCCCCTCGTTCAAATACATTTTCACTAGCTTTCTGGTTTCTGATGGTTTCCTGAATTCACTGCATAGCTTCCCTTAATTGTTTCATGAGTTAGAAATTTAGCAGGGTGGGGTCTTGCCCTGAGGTCACCACTCCCTTTATTCCAATGAACATCAGGATTTTCTTTAAACTTTTTTATCTCCTTGAGCCCTGGACTGAACTCCATTACACTTCCTGGTACACTTTTTAACCTCAACCTGTACATTTTATATTTTCCCTTGCTCTGCTGGCCCCTTTTTTAGATCTGCATTAGACTGGCCACTAGCCGGGCAGTGGTGGTGCACACATTTAATCCCAGCACTTGGGAGGCAGAGGCAGACAGATCTCCGTGAGTTCAAGGCCAGCCTGGTCTACAAGAGCTAGTTCCAGGACAGGCTCCAAAGCTGCAGAGAAACCCTCTGCCTCCTGAATGTTGGGATTAAAGGTGTGTGCCACCACTGCCCCACAGAATAGTCTCTAATATTATTCTCCTCTGAAACCTCTTGAGCAGGGTCGTCATAATCTACACTGCTCTCAGCACCACTATCTTCCATGCTCCTATTAGGATGGCCCATTAAGCCCACTTCAAGTGTTCAACTACTTTCCTAGTCCAAAGTCCACATTCTGCCAACAAGAAGCATGGGCAGGCTGTCAGAGCAATATTCCTCTCCTGGAACCAATTTGTCTTAGACTTCTATTGCTGTGAAGAGACCCTATGATCACGGCAACTCTTAAGAAAAGCATTTAATTGGGGCTTGCAGTTTCAGTTACATGGTGCTGGAGAAGTGCTGAGAGTTCTATATCTGGATTCATGGGCCAGGAAGAGAAAGCCACTGGGCCTGGTATTGTAATGGATTAAGTAAAAATGCTGCGGATCCCTGAGTGGCTGCAGTGGCAGAAATGCTGCAGGTCCCCAAGCGGTGGCTGTGGGCAGCAGGTCCCGAGAGCAGCCAGTCTCAGGCAGGAATGGCACAGTTCCCCCTAGTGGCTGCAGTGGTCCATGAGTCCCAGGCGATGAGGGAGCTGCATGGTGGGTGAAGGAGCTGCATGGTGGGTGAGAAACCTCCATGGGGCAGCCAGTCTCACGAGGAGTGACAGACAGATGGGCATGCCATGAGACCACACTGCAGGTCTCCAAAGGCAACTGGTCCCGGGTAGGGAGTCACATGGCAGGCGAGAGACTGATGGATAAGCATACCATGCAGAGTGAGGTTGGGTATTTATTTAGTGGGTTATGGAAGGGAAAGGGAATAAGGAGATGAGCAGAGAGAGAGAGAAAAACAGAGAGGGGAAGGGGAGAAGTGGGGAGAGACAGAAGCTGCCTCTTTCGGGGAGAGATGGAAAAGGAAGGTACTCAGGCTGGAAACTGAAGATCAGCTTGCCTTAGTGGATGGGGGTAGTGAGGGAGGGTAAGAGTAGGGGGGAGTGTGGCTTGTCTCTTAAAGGGACAGGACAGATCAATACAGCTAGGACTTTTGAAACCCTCAAAGCCCACCTCCAATAAGGCCATACCTTCTAATTCTTTCAAATAGGGCCATTCCCTAAACATTTAAATATATGAGCCTATGGGGGCCATTGCTGTTCTACCACTAAAGGGCTCCTTTCCCATAAGCTCACAGCAGTATTCAGTTCCTCTTTTCACACCCTGTGGCTTCTCACATACACAGTCTACACACAGTCCCAGGGACAATTTCTTGTTGTCTCTTCTGTGGGTACTTTCTATTGCCCTAAGGTGGGTAAACCAGGGAACCTAGCAGAAGGGTAGGGAGTGCAGCTGGAAACCAAGGAAACTGGTTACTGAAGGGACCGTTACTTCTGACTTGAAGCTAGAACCTCCTCCCCAAACACACATACAGAGTTTCTCTGTGTAATAACCCTGGCTGTCCTGGAACTCACTCTGTAGACTATGCTGGCCTTGAACTTACAGACTTCTACCTGCCTCTCCCTCCTGAGTGCTGGGATTAAAGGTGTGTGCCACCACTGCCTGGTTGAAGTTAGAAATCTTAGTTGTGCATGGCATGGCTGGAAAGTCAGGTTTGGCCCTAACTATTCACGTTCTGACTTCTTCCAGAGGAAGCAGCTGCATAGGAAACCTGATCAGAATGTGTCCCTTGATTTTGAAAGGGCTCCAAGAGGCTTTCCAGCCACAATGCCCTTTCGGAACTCACACGTCTTAGCAGTTGACTAGTCTTGTCCCTAGGTTTAATCCCCACCATTGACTGACCAAGACAGCCCAGTGCCTTGTCATTAGGAAATAATGACACCTGGTGGATAGACACCTGACCTACACTATAGAAGACTTCTGACCAGCCCAGGTATGAATCTTAGGGACTTGGACTGAGGTAGGACCATGCCTGTCTAAAGGCACTCTACTTTCATTTATCTAAACAGATCACTCTGTTACTATAATAAAATATAACAAGTGAAACATGACGCCTATGCAGACTTCCTGGCCAGATGCCAAGGACCTTCCTAAAAGCAGTGGAGCCTGAAGCTTCAGCCTTTTCTCGTCACTGAGAGAAGCCTTATTAATTCCCAGCAAACAGCCCACTGTTAGAGCGGTAGCCTAGGAAAGCTTGTGTGTGTGTGTGTGTGTGTGTGTGTGTGTGTGTGTGTGTATGTGTGTGTGTATGTGTGTGTGTGTGTATGCGTGCAACCACTCATGCAGGCAATGTGGTCACCCCGACAGGGAGGCCTCTATCACTCTCCACTTTAATTTTTCAGACACGGTCTCTCACTGAACCTGGAGTTTGTCATTTTGGTCAGACTAGCTGGCGGCAAGTATCTGGGGTCTATGTGCTTTTATTCTCCAGCACTGGGGTTACAGGCATGAACCACTACAGCTGGCTTCTTTTTCTATTTTGTTTATGTTTTTTTCGAGACAGGGTTTCTCTGTGGTTTTGGAGCCTGTCCTGGAACTAGCTCTTGTAGACCAGGCTGGCCTTGAACTCACAGAGATCCGCCTGCCTCTGCCTCCCAGGACCCAGGACCCAGGACCCAGGACAATTCTGTATCATCAGGTATAAATTCAGCAGTTTCAATATGTAAAATAACTTTCTGTGTATTGTGAATCAGTGACTATATTAATAGGTTCTTTAAAATCCCTTAGCACCATAAGAATGGCATATAATTCTGCCTTCTGGACAGAATTATACGGACTTTGTTCCACCTTACCCAAGTCTTCTGATTTGTAACCTGCCTTCCCTGATTTATTGGCATCAGTATAGAATGTACGGGCTTCAGTTATTGGAGCATCACGGATGATTCGAGGAAGAATCCAAGAAGTTCTCTTTATGAAGTTAAGCCTCTTGCTTTTTGGATAGTTGTTATTAATGTCTCCCAAAAAATTAGCACAAGCTCTTTGCCGTGGTTCATTATCTTCCCATAATTTCTTTAGTTCATCAGCAGTGAAAGGCACTATAATTTCTGCTGGGTCTATGCCTGCTAGTTGACGAAGTCTCAGCTTGCCTTTTATAATTAACTCAGAGACTTTTTCCACATAAGTTTTCAGTTTCTTACTTGGTTTATGTGGTAAAAAGATCCATTCCAAAATAATATCATCTCTCTGCATTAAAATTCCTGTAGGAGAAATTTTTGATGGTAGTATGACAAGAATACAATCGAGCTCTGGATTCACCCTGTCCACATGTGCCTGTTGTAATTTTTCCTCAATCATTGTCAGTTCCTTTTCTGCTTCAGCTGTTAATTCTCTGGGACTGTTTAAATCTTTATCACCATCCAAGGTTTTGTTCAAATGAATTATTAGATCAGGTGTTATCCCAATAGCTGGTCGTAGACTGGAAATGTCTCCTAACAGTGTTTGAAAGTCATTAAGAGTCCGTAGGCGATCTCGCCTAATTTGTGCTTTTTGTGTCTTAATTTTTTGCAAACCTATTTTATAACCTAAATAATTAACAGAATCTCCCTTCTGAATCTTTTCAGGAGCAATTTGCAATCCCCATTTAGGTAAAAGTATCTTTATTTCTTCAAACAGTTTGTTCAAGGTATCTATGTTTGAATCGGATAACAAGATGTCATCCATGTAATGGTATACTATAGATTTGGGAAATTTCTTGCGTATTATTTGCAA